TTTTTTTTTTTTTTTTTTTTTTTTTTTTTTTTTTTTTTTTTTTTTTTTTTTTTTTTTTTCTACAAATGAATTTATATAGTAAAAAATGATTGCAACAAAAATGATTGCAATAGTTTCATGTGTGTAGTATGTAACACACTTTAAGATAAATGTTACTGTTACATGCATGACTTTAACCATTTGTAATATTTAATTAAGAGTAAAGAAAATATTAATGTAATTTTTGTATTTATGAAACTAAAAGATTTTGAATTTTTAAGACTGTGATGCATTTAATGGCATCAATATATATTCGTTCTATGAATTTTCTAGATAAAAAAAAAACGTGCTGGACACAAAAACAATGTAATGCTTTTTAAAATTGTAAGTGACAATATTAATGTTACTGATATTGAGAATTAGTAATGAAGTATAACAGAAATATATAGTTATTATTTCAATATAACCTAATTCCAAAATATTGTAATAAGAAATCATTCCATTTGTTCAAGCATTGATTATTATTAGAATTATAATTCATGAACTATAGATCATTTTTGTTTTACTGTACAATAAAAAATATACACCTCAATAATTGAGGTTAAAAAGTTGTACATTTATAAATACAGTAATTAATAATTAAGTACAGAACAAGAAAAGCGATTATATTTATGTACTGATTACATAAAAAAAACATGATTATGTAATTAAGTATGCAATATTTTAGTAATATAAGTACTATATGCATTACATGAAAATTTGTACATTTCAAAATTAAAGATTGACTAACACTAAATTTTGATTACAATTGAAAATAAATGAAATATTATTTTTATTAACAATAAACATAAAAAAAATATTAAAAAATAGAATTTTCGCAATAATAACTAAATTATGAAATAATTCAAATATATCTATGATGGCACATATACATTTGCACAAAATATCATATTGTTATAAAAAAATATTTTATTTCAAAAACAATACAAATGATAATGATATTCAAAATATTTGAATATTTTTCATTTATTCAAGATATTTATACATTTATTTTTTTATTTTTTTATTTATGAATCATATTTTCAATTTATATTAATAAAATCATTTCTGTATAAAAACTAGTAATTATTCTTCTTCTTTTAGTTTAAGTCAATATTTATTATTATTAATATAACAAATTATATATCTTTTAATTATTTTTTGTTATAATTTTATCTCATATTCTACTTCAGACAATTAATATTAGATATAATAATTAATAATATAAAAAATAAAAATTATTAAAGATAAACAATCGTAAATTATACACATATATATATAAAATATCACATAATTAATTTTTTTCTTTTAAATATTTCTATTGTATATTATTATTATTTAATTACAATAACTTAAATTTGCTTCATCTACTTCATTTACTTTTATTGATTATTTCGAATACTTAGCGTAAAGATTTCTTTTTTGTAATTTATTTAAATTAATGTACATTTTTATTTGGATTATAAAAATATAAATATATTTTAAAATTAATATAATAATATGATCATTATGAAAAAATATTACTAAATTGAATCTAAATATTAGATGATAGTTAATAATCAACACTTCTAAAGCTGTCATAAATCATTCCTTTTCAATTATGTATGAAATCTAATTTTAAAATTTATTTATAAACAAGTAATATTATATATATAATGAATATACTATAATTTAATCTATTTTTTTTTAAATTCTCTAAATAAATAAAAAAAGAAAATAGTAAAACTTGCGTATAATACAAAATTTTATCCATAGCACATGTATGAAATCTAAAGACGGAGTGAATACTTTGTAATACCGGTTATTTCGCTTTTTGTAAAAGCGACATAAGTTTTGTGAATATTTAATCATAATGACTGCATTAAGTGGTTTTATGGAATTTTTTCAAAAAGGAAAGGTAAATTTTCACTTATATTAAATATTAATAAAATTTTTTAAATAATAATTAAAATTCTAACCTAATGTAAAAAATATTACTGATTATAATTTTTATATTTAATGCATTAAATAATATTTATTTAGAATGTAAAGTTATTAACTTATTTCAAGATTAAATATTAATATAATTTTTTATATTAATATATATTTATTGTTTTAATTTATTAAATATATATATAAGTATTTACTAAAATGTTTTTAATATATTCTAAATCATTTAATATCATTAATCATCTTAGACATTTAGGCCAAAAAAGAAATTTGCTCACGGAACTTTAAGATATTCTTTGCATAAACAAGCACAAGCTTCATTGAATTCAGGAATTAATTTAAGATCTGTTGTAAAATTACCTCCTGGAGAAGATTTGAATGATTGGATAGCTGTTCATGGTACATTACAATTTTTATTAATAATTATTTATTATATGTAATAAATAAACTTAAAAAAATATAATTTTTAATAAATAATAACATAATTTCAGTGGTAGATTTTTTTAATAGAATAAATTTAATATATGGTACTGTTTCTGAATATTGTGACTCTGCATCTTGTCCAACAATGAGTGGTGGAGCTCGTTTTGAATATTTATGGGCAGATGGTGAAAAATATAAAAAACCTACTGCATTACCAGCACCACAATATGTTAGTCTTCTTATGGATTGGATTGAAGCTCAAATTAATAATGAAACCATTTTCCCTGTATCAACAGGTATAAAGTTTTAAATAATAGTTGATAATATATAAATAATATAATAAATAATAGTCAATTATTTATGTAACAATTTTTTTTTACAGATGTACCATTTCCAAAAACTTTTGTCCTACTATGTAGAAAAATTTTGACACGTTTGTTCAGAGTTTTTGTCCATGTTTATATACATCATTTTGATCGTATTGTAGCAATAGGAGCAGTAAGTTTTATATTTTTATATACATTATATATCAATAATATATCTTATTATAATATAATTGAAAATATTTCCATTTTAGGAAGCACATGTGAATACGTGTTATAAGCATTTTTATTATTTTGTAACAGAATTTGAATTAATAAATACAAAAGAATTAGAACCATTAGCTGAAATGACAGCTAAAGTTTGTAAGGATACTGCATCACCAACACAAACAACAGCACCATCAAATAATGCCAGATAGTGATGAACTTAATAAATGTATAAAATCATAATCAAATTAGAATGAGATAAATTTTTTCTAATGTAAGTAAAAAATCTGAGAAATTTTTAATTTATTTTTTTCGAAAATATTATAAAATTTTAGGATGCCACAAAATATCACTTTTATTACTATTTACAATATTGAAGAATTTCATCAAGTGCTTTATTGTATAGTGCTTCTAATCTTCTATTGGGGATAATTTATTAATATAATTATCTCTTTTTAGTTAGTCATAAATGTTATTAATATATTAAATATATAACAAATTATATAATTAAATTTTAAAAATCCATCCTTTTTATGGATAAATAGACACAGCAATAAATTGTATTTACATTTATGTGCTTTGAAAACAATTTGTGTATAAATTAATATTTGTATTCAAGTAATTTTATATATCAAGTTTTATAAAAAGAATTTAAATATTATTTATATTATTTCATAAAAATATATAATTGTACATATAATTTTGCACTATTAAGATGCTTATGTAATATCCTTATATAATGTATTAAAAATTAAAAACATTTTTTATAAAATTAAATAATACTGTATTCATAATAATAGAAATATAACATCATACAGTATAAAAAAAGTACAAATTTAAAAAATAATAAAACATAATAAATTAATTTCCATCATAAAAATTGTTCATTGTTTTTAATTAAATAAATAATTTATATTGATTGTAAACAAAATTNNNNTTTAAATTTAAATCATATTTTGAAATATTTTCATCTATTAAATATAA